CGACTCGCAAGTGCGACTGCCGGGCATGGGGTCTCGGGTTCGATTCCCGGGTCGGGCAAAGTATTACTGGGTTTTCAAAAAAATCTCAGTAGTAGCACGGAGTCTGGAATTGTGCCCGCTATATGGCAATAGACTCACCCCTTATTACATGGGACTTATAACATAAATAGTGAAAAGTGGGTGTTATATTGTACAGTGGCACCTCTGCCTACCTACGGTAGTATGTTGGATACTTACGTGGTGTACGCAATAAACTTTACGGATTCTTTGTCTATTGGTGGCAGCCAGTCATTGGTGGAAGAACTGGGATCCAGTTCAGCATTGTTGACATCTTCCTCCAGCAGAGGCGGTATATCTTCATACTCCTCATTAGACTCTTCTTCATACTCCTCATCAGATTCTTCTACACTTTCTTCATCAGTGGATTCCTGGATTCAAACAAATACATTAAAATATATACTGCCTTCTAGGCCCTGTGGCCGCAAGTGAAATGAAATGGAAGAGTTTCCGTCGGCATACGGCATGAATGCAAGGAACAAAAAATAGCAATACAATACAATTTAATAAAATAATAATATAAAAGTCTAACACAAGAGAGTGAGAATAAAAGATAATCCATATCCATAGGAATCTACACGTTGGAATGAGCAAATAGCTTCACTTTTAATATTATTGTTGACGTTCGAAAGTGCCTTTCTGGTCTAATTGAAATAAATGATTTTGACGGGAACCGTGCAAGTTCTTTCTGTAGTGGCCTTTTGAGGAAAGAACCACAACAGTTTGAGCGGACCCGTTCTGACGGCAGTACCTACTCATGTGTCGGTTTACAGTCAGCTCAATTAACGGGTGAGGCTGACTGATTCGACGAACAACACCAACCTAAAGAACATTTGCGTGGGTCGCACAAATACTCAAACTGTCAGAATATGGGTAGTTAAAAAAAAATGGTGAGGCAAAGTCTCGCACGGTCCTAGCACTAACAATTGTAAAATAAAACGTAAATGTCAAGTTATATATAATAATATATATATTGTGTTACTTACCTCGCCATCGTCATTTATTTCAAACTGATCTTTAATCAGTGGTTCTGGTTCCTTAAATATGTGTAATCTTTCCGTTATCATTTCTGCAACAATTACAATTATTATATATTAATTTAAATATATAAATATAATATATAATGTTGGTATAAACAGCGCGTTACACTAGTTTTGCGTTCCTGCTTACTAACTGTAAATATTATACACAATTCATTTGTTTTATACACAAAAAAATCATTAAGAAACATTAATTATAATGGCGCGGTCACAATTAAATAATCATTAGATAATAATATGTACAATGTAATTACAAAACATGTGGTTTCTTATCTAGAAAAATGACAGTTGGCAAAAGCATTTTATTAGTGTTTGTTTTTGAGGGGGGAAAGTCATCCAATGACTTCTCCCGCCCGGGTGAGGCGAGAGGGAGTGTCAGGCTCTTACTGACTAAAAACCCCTTTCCTACTTTACGCGCCGTACGCTCGGGTCTGGTTCTGGTCGGACGGGGACCCACCCGTGCTCGCCGTCCGCAGGCCCGTGCTTACGGTGGCCGGAGATCGTCTCGCGAACCCCGACGCCCAGAATGTCTCTCGCGACGGCTGGGGCGTGAGGAGATTCGTTCCCTCACGCGCCCCGCCGCCTCCTTAGCTAGCATGACTGCTTCGCAGGAGGAGAAGACGACATCCCAGTTCCTCTCGCTCCGTACCATAGTCTGAATTGGAGTAGGACGCGAGAGATTGCCGTCGCCGATCACTTCCCTGAGGACACGGCGCGGTGTTCAGCCCACGCAGGACACACCGCCACCGTATGCTCCACCGTGTCCTCTGGGCGGTCCTCGCATTTTTACTTGTCTACATGAAATATTGATTTTTGATTTAGTAAATTATCAAATACTAGTTACTTTCTTCCGCTGCTCGACTCTTATGGACCGTAGCGTGGTGTTTTATTTATAACCTACTAGATTCTGCCCGCGACTTCGTACGCGCAATCCCGTTTTCTCCAGTTCCTGCAGGATTTTCAAGACTTTTTCTGTCATAAGAACCTTCTCCTACTAATAACAAATACAACAAAAAAGAAGAATTATTGAAATCGATGTTGTGATCAAGTGATAAAGGGAATTATTTATATATACATATATGTATATAAATAGTCTTCCTCGGTATATGGACTGTCCAACACTAAAATACGGATTTACAAAAATCCATGTTTTTTTTAAGTTACAACTGAAACAATTAAGTACTTTCCTTAACTCGTCGAGTACCGTCATTATAGACACAATTATAGAACAATAGGTCGCGGTCACCAGTGACCGCTTGGTGTTTAACAGTTTAGTGAAAAATAAATTATTCGACTGTTCAATACAATAAAATATTAAAAAATAATCACACTTTCTTTCATTAATCGATTTTATGACCAACTTAATTTTGGTATATTTCCAGTAATTTTTTAAGAAACAAGTAGGTACGCTGTTTGACGCTAAAAAAACGTGACGTCACAATACACAATCTCCTACGAAATTCTTAGAAAACTGTCGTTTTTGACAGTTTTCTATGAATTTCGTTTAACAGTTTTTATATTTTGTTTAAATTATTTTATTTAATATTTTAAGATAGGCAATATGTTATGTTAAGGTTATAATATTTTGTTTATTTTACTTTTATATTAGGATATGCATTATTTAAGGTGGAGGATTGTAATATGTTTAGGTTTATCCACATAAGAATTTATTAAGTACTAGCGACCCGCCCCGGCTTCGCACGGGTACACGGCAATATGTATATACATACAAACCTTCCTTAAGAATCACTCTATCTATTAAAAAAACCGCATCAAAATCCGTTGCGTAGTTTTAAAGATCTAAGCATACATACGGACATACAGCGAAAGCGACTTTGTTTTATACTATGTATTGAAGATCACGTATAACTAAGCTTACAGAATTGTAACCGCTTGCTTTACGTAGGTAGACGTTTCTTTATTTTGTACTTTCGACACTTCAATTTATAAGGCACCAGCAGCCCGCCCCGGCTTCGCACGGGGACAATTATTTATTTTTGTAAATTTGGATTGTTGTAGTGACATAACTACAATAGTTGGACATATGCTACCGCGGAGTTTGTGTAGACATTATGATGTTCTTCAATATTGTTGTACATTATTTTGTTCTATCGCTAATAGTTTCGGCAGCGCATTCCACGAAAGACATTTTAAGACTCATTTTTCTACACCTTCGGTTACATTGTTCAAATTCTACCAAGGATCCCGAATTTTTTTTCAAAAAGAAATGTAGAATGTAGCATTCTATTGATGAAAGAATTTTTTAAACCGGCCCAGTACTTTTTGAGTCTATTCATTACAAACATACAAAAATAGGTTCTTTCCTCTTTATAATATTAGTATATGGCAGTTTTTTTTCTACTGATGTTTACTGCGACCGATATTAAAAATGTTCTATGCATAATTCTGTCTGAATATCAAACTGCCATAACTCAGTGATGACAAATTCTAGAAAATCAATTCAAAGTGATATAAAGAGTTTAAGAATTGCACTATATATTATACTTCTCAAGAAACATAATATAACTTCACGTCTCTATCCCCGAAGGGGTAGACAGAGGTGCACATTTCGGCACTTAATGCCACTGTACAATGTAACACCCACTTTTCACTATTTATGTTATGAGTCCCATGTAATGAGCCTGTTTATGTATTTATTAACTAGCGGTGCCCACGAATTCGTCCACGTGGAATAGTGATTCATAGTTCCTCCCCTATTTTGACACGACTTGTTAGTAATATTCATGCAGAATTTGAAGTAAATCCATGCAGTACTTTTTGAGTATAGCCCGGACATACATACAGACAAACAGACAAAAATTGTGAAAACCATATTTTTGGCTTCGGTGTGGATTGTAGTACACGCCTCTAGTATTCTTTTAAAAAAAATATTTAATGTACAGTTTTGATTTTTCTACGATTTTATTATAATTATACTTAGGTTGTGAATCAACAAGTGAAACAAGTGAATTTATTTCTGCAAATATGCTACAAGACAGCACTTTTACACGTCAATTTTATCAAGCGAACGATGAGGCCGACATTTCCTAACTGACTCTGAGAAGAAATGCCGAAACAAACTCAGAGGTCTGTCTCTTTTAAATATCACTCAATTATAAAATACCATGCTTTTTTTTAAGGTCCCCCCTTAAAAAAAAGCATGGTATTTCATCGAATCATCGAATGACTGCTCCCGCCTGGGTGAGGCGGGAGGGAGTGTCAGACTTTTCCTGACTAAAAACCACCTCGCCCACGTGACCCGTTAGATTCTCCGGGACAAAATACCACGCGACGGTAAATATGAACAAAGGAGCGGTTGAAGCCGCGCGAGAGTTACTTAAAATCCGAACAACTAGCTTCTGCCAGCGGTTTCGCCCGCGATTCCAAGGTTGAACTAGCTTATGTATTACTTCAGACCACAATCTACCTCTGTTCCGAATTTAATCCCGATCCCTTCAGCCGTTGTGACGTGACTGAGTAAGAAACATACACTCAAGCACACATGTTTTCACATTTATAATATCAGTTCAAGCTAATTTCAACCATCGGCCGTACAGATACAGCGTAAAATCCACTGCGGGTAACCTAAAATTCGACAAACTTACATTTGCGTTTGTACAGTAACTGTGTCTAAGGATTGAGCCGCACAATTAAGTTTGGTTTTTCGTGTATATACTTTATTGGCATAAAAAGTATACAGTCTTGTGCTCAGGGTATTACAGTATAATCATACCAAGTTTCATCGTAATCTGACCGGTAGATATTGCGTGAAGCGTGAACAAACAAAGAGACAGTCAGACAAAAAAAAAAAGTCACATTTTTGTGTTCGGTGTCTATTTAGTAACAACCCCTACTACTTGTTTATTAATATTTCAATGTACAGAATTTACACTTCCATAGTTTTATTAGATACATGTATAGATATAATATATCAGTATAACTATAAATAATAAATAATATGTAAAGGCTTACCGAAATATATAATGCTTCTGTCGGTTTCGTTGTACAGAGAGACACAGACAACGTACAGGATACTCCCCTGACTGACTGACTGACTGACTATCATCAAACTTCAAAGTATAACCTCTAAACAGTGTTGCCATGTTTGAAAATTAACGTTCGGTAGAATTCTTCCTAAAATACGGTAGATTTTTCGAAAGTACATTGTAATGTTTTTCTGTGGAATGCGCTCCCTCCCGATATCAAAATGGTACCCAGTCGTTTGTCATTCAAACGGAAGGTTCGGGAGCTACTTTTTTTTTAAGGCGGGAAAATCATCGACTGTTTGCTCCCGCCTGGGTGAGGCGGGAGGGAGTGTCCGACTCTTACTGACTAAAAACCACCCCGTTCCTTCTCCTGCACGTCGAGCCGGAGCCCCGGTTACCCGTTAGGTTATCCGCGACTCCGATTCGGCATCGGCCCTATTTGAGCCCCATCTGTAATTATGTTACGTTTAAGTAGTATATTATTATGTAATATAATTACTTTAGTTTATTGTTATGTCATATACATCTAAGTTTAAACAGGGATTTATTTTATATAAGTCTATACTATGTTTTTTATGTATTTCTGTTGATTCTTAAATACGTTTGCTTCTTCCATCGACCATTGTTTTTGGCTCTGCACCACCCGAAGGTCTGGCTGGAGGAAAATGCCCATGGCAATAAAGATGTAATTTTTTAGTTCAAAACATATATTCATTTACTTTCACATATTAAACACTAGACGTAAATTTGTAGACACTATCCGCATCGCACGTGCCACCCGACGAGAAATACCTTTTCGAGAATTATGTACAAAGAAACCCACTTCTCATGCATGAGGGTGCGGGTTCGAAACCTACCAACGGCAAGTACCCCAACGCCTAGAGTGTCTCTCGCGACGGCTAGGGCGTAAAGACTTTTGCGTTCCCTCACGCGCCCCGCCTCCTCCATAGCTAGCAAGCTAGCAAGGAGGTTCACCGCCTCCCCGGAGGTCATGCGATATCCGCGGATCAATCGAATTGCCATGACCTCTGAAATGTGAGCAGCGCCCGAGTGGCCCGCTGCATCAGGTTCGGCGCCCACACAGGGGCACCGTAGAGGGCCATGGACCACAAAACCCCCGCGTACAATCTCCGGCTGAAGGCATTTGGTTCCCCGAGCTTCGGTAAGAGGCGCTTAAGTGCCGCCCCCGTCCGTTCCAACTGAGGATCCAAATGTCGGAAGTGCTCCACGAAGTTCCACCGACTGTCGAGGACGAGTTCCAGGTACTTCATCATCGTCTCAGGGTAGATGACGGATCTGTCAGGTAGGCCTCGATTACACGACCGAGGTAAGTAGGCATCCGATGATATCGAATTACCTCCAAAATGCAGCTCCAGGGCAGGAAGTTGAAGCCGTTGGCGATGTCCAAAGATACCGCCACTATGACCTTACCACTGGACACTGCAGTCCCAGTCGTGAGGTCTCTTACGCGCATGATGGCGTCCACTGTGGAGCGCCCTCTGCGGAAGCCGAACTAGCCGGTCCGAGAGGTCCGGCCCAACATCAGATATGTAAGTGCGCGACGAGGCGGTTCGAAATTATCCTTTCGAAGACTTTACCCACCTCGTCGAGCAGTACAACGGGCCGGTACGCGGACGGAGAGTCCGCAGGGCGGCTTCTTCACGAGGACCAGCTTGACCAACAAAATATATAAACATAAAATAAAATTTTAATACAAAATCATGCTGGTATTTTTATGTGTAAAAATCCTACGGTAGGTATAAATATTTCCTGATTACGGTGCTTTTGCCGTAATATCGTTGCAGTTGGCAACACAGCCTCTAAACAAAGAAAAACACCATTACTTAGTTTTTGTCAAACACATTCATTAGACTTCAACTCTAACGTTTAGGTTTAAAGTCGGAAATCCAATGACGAAAATTGGCACGTCGGGGTGGGTTGATGTAAGTACTTACTATATATTGGCCAGTGAACAATAATAGAGAACAAATTCTATAAAAAAGGGTATCCAGTCCCATTTTGACTATTTAAAACTTCGCCAGATGTGGACATTTTTTGTTGAACAACAATAGATCAATTGTATGCAAGTTATTGATTCTAAAGTCGACAAAAAAAACAAAGGGACAGGTATTCTTTTGTTTTAGTAGGTAGTCCGACCAGGGTCCTATGGTCAGACCAGCTCAATAGTACCATAATCTTGCTAAAAGTAATTCTTATCGAAACTGCGTTAAAAAAAATATTCTAACTTTTTTTTTTAATTATTTTTTTTATTTGAAACTAGTTTTTACCCGCGGCTACGATCGCGTCACAAAAGATATATATATTATATATAATATATATTATATTATTTATTACTAGCGAGCTGTTCAGCTATGTAGAGGTATATAAAATACTAGCGACCCGCCCCGGCTTCGCACGGGTGCAATATGCATGTATTATACATACAAACCTTCCTTAAGAATCACTCTATCTGTTAAAAAAAACCGCATCAACATCGTTGCGTAGTTTTAAAGATCTAAGCATACATACGGACATACAGCGAAAGCGACTTTGTTTTATACTATGTATTGA